AAAGGAGACAGGTTACTGTGTATTACTGCTGTCTGGTGAGAGGGAACCCAGCAATGGACTGGAGGGTGGCACTTTCAATAGGAAGGGGAAGTGGCTGGAAGCCTAGGGCCTGGCAGGGAAAAGTGGAAGGGATGTGGCAGAGGGGAGCTGGCTCGGTCACCCATCAGCCCCACTGAGCTAGTCCTTCCCAGGTCTTCCCACGTGAGCAACTGGCACCTGAACCCTGGGAGTCATTCCTAACGGCTCACTTTCTCTGACACCCACATCCTGTCCATCAACAAATCCTGCCTTCTTCATTTATTGTAAAGTTGATCACAGCTCACTCTCTCTGAAACTCCCAAGTCTCAGGCCTCAGCTGCTCTCTCTGAACCACTGCGGGGGCCTCCTAACTGCTCCTCTTGTGTCCACTCTTATCCCTCACACTCATTCCTCCCCACATCGGTCAAAGGGATCTTTAAAAACTGAATCAGATTGTTTGTTACCCCTGCTCAAAGCCTCCCAGCACTTCACATCACACTTAGAAGGAAACCGCACTGCCGCGGTCCACAGACCCCTGGCTCCCCCTGCAGCCGCATCTCTCACACTCCACCTCCCACGCCCACCGGAACCAGAGCCTTGTCTCTGTCCTCAGTCACCAGGCTTGTGTCCGCCTCAGGGTCTTCGGCAGTTGCTGGTCCCTCTGCTAGGACATCTCCCTACAGACCTTCCCAGGGTTCCCTCACTTCACACCATTCAGGACCTGCCAGGTCCTAACTCCTCCGAGAAGCCTTCCCTGACTACCTCATTGAAAATTCTTCCCTCCTGTCATCTCCCACCCTCCCACCTTACATCCTCTTCCCTGCTTAACTCTCATCTGTAGCACTTACTATTCCATGATGTTGTTACTCTTTTATTTATGGATTTGTTCACTGTATTCTTCTCAATTATAACACAAGCTCCATGAAGACTAGACTTTGACTTATTCTCTGTTGAACTCTGAAGAGATCTCTAGTATGCAGAACGGTGTGTATACATAATCCAAAAATACCCAAACCCACTGCTGTCAAGTTGATTCCAACTCATAGCGACCCTGTAGGACAGAGTAGAACTGCCCCGGAGGGTTTCCAAGGCTGTCATCTTTACGGAGGCAGGTTGCTGTGTCTCTCTCCCATGGACAGCTGGTGGGTTCGAAGTGCTGACCTCTCCATTAACAGCCAAGCCCTTAACCACGGTGCCACCAGGGCTCCATAGACATAGTAGTCACTCGGTAAACACTTACTGAATGAATTGTTAACATTTCGGTAAATATTCTTGCAGT